AAATACAACAGCTTCAAAAAAACAATATATAACAGAAAATTAAAAAAATATAGCAGAAAAATCATAAAAAATCTCATTTTTTATGCATTTTGATTTTTTGAGTTTTTTAAATTTTGTGTATTACTCAATTAATAGTTATTGGATCTTAAGAAAACAAAAAAGAACTAAAACATGATGTTTATGTAGGAGAAATAGCAATATAATAAAAAGTGAGACAGAGAGTGGCACAGATTGTGAGACAGAAGATCCGTTGTGTCGATTTGCCATATTGATGCCTATGCCAGATCTCCTCTGAAATTGACTTTGTTATGTTCATGTGCAAATAATTAGAGCAAGCTTCACAAATTAGAATTGACAATTACTTTTAGATGACTGCTAGCTGGCCCTATATACATACATATATATATATATCAACAATGGTCCTGAGTTTTATAAATAAATTATCTATACAATCTATAAATATATTTTTGTCACTTTATACAGTTTCAATTTTGCACTCATTAAAATTACTTATTACTTTACTAATTAAACACAAATTGCTAAAATAACTACATGGAACTGTTTTTAACCATAATTAATCTAAACATATCGTGGCAAAATGACGGCCTCTAACTGTCTAAGCGTTGTAACTATTAAAACCATCATTTGATGGGTGCAAAGGTTAAAATATCACAATTTGCTTTATTAATGAAAATTGTATATAAAATTAATTGGCAAAGAAAAAAATCTGAATTACACACACATCACGCGTGTCTTTAGCACTAGTATTTAATAATACAACTAATACACACAAAGTAAGTTGAATGCCAAGGAGGCTTTAACCTAGTGGTTAATATTGAAACTTGCAGCAGAGTTAGAGCTTTTGGGTGCAAATTCCCCCTCCCCACTTCTTAAATTCCACGCCCCCCCGCTAGATTAAACTTTTTATTTAAAAAAAAAAATGGTAAGCTGAATATTGGCATATAGTTAGTGAAACTCGCATAATGTTATAATTGAATCCAAAACCTTTGATTCTTGGTCCAAGATCACTTGATAGGCTGAAAAAAAATTCTAAATATAAATTGAAAGGTGGGAAACAAAAATGAGAACAAAAATGAGTTTTCACGATCTTATTTTTCTAGGATGTGATGATTTTCTAACGTGAATGTCAAAAATGTACTACAAGGAAGCAGTTGTGATGAAGAGTGTGCATATCAAAACAAAAATGAGACAAATTGTGGACACAGCAGAGACCAAAAGGATAGAGAAACAAGAACAACTTGGGATTGATTAGCAAGTACGGTTCCTACCACCTTCCAAATTCCAAGCTTCACCTAGAAATGTTGCCTATGGAACTGAACTAATGGAGTTATTTACTAGTATTGATCAGTGACTCTAAAAAATCTACATATCATTAATGAGCTGCAAGATCTAAGGCGTCTTTGCATGTGTGCATTGCGCATCTGCATGTGCCTTCTTTGTAGCCGTTGATGATTATTAGACAGATTTTCTGCCTTTTCAACTCTCACATTATTGATTGAATGGTTTCCTCCAGTTCATCGTTTTCTTGAATTGTTGGCGTGAGAAAACCAATTCATGGTCTCAAATTTCGCAGCGTCTGATGGCAAGTTTGTGGTCCAGTCATATATATGCTAGTTCCATATATCAAAACCGAAGACCTACCAAAACTTGCAATTGGAGTTGACAACACACAAATGTAGACAGAAGATGGATCGATCTCACTAGCCGTTTTTGATCGAACAGAAGTCAAATCTCTCCTGCACCCGAGGCAGATGCCCAAGAATCTTTTAATGGCTTTCAACCTAAATAGTTGCAAGTTCATAAAAAATGATGCTAGATTCTTCTTTTTCTCCCCCCATATTGGTGATCACTATAAACTCTCTTCTTTCCTTTTCTTTTTCTAGCCCCTCTTGTTCGATATAAATAACTAACTCTCTCTTAATTGGAGGGCAGATTCGACAAAAAGGCACTTTGGCCCTGCGCAATTGCAGTTAGAACATTTAGTGTAGTTTATGGTCATTGGTCATTGTCCTTCAATTTTATATTGCCCAAGAAATGCGCATCTTGATGAATGCTTTCGGAACTTCTAGAGATGGGATCCTAATTTCATACATTGCGACTGACGATGCTATTGATGATAAGACGCTTTGGATTTGGTCAAAAATCCCTTCAATTGGTGGAAACAATACATGAATCTATTCTCCTAAAAATTGGGGACTTAATGTTGGGGGAGAATCGATGTAAAACTCATGTTCTCGAATTCGAGATCCTCCACATGAATATTCGCAAAGAAGAAAAAATAAGGAAAAAATTCAAACCATAAAATTTAAAAATAGAAAAAGGATGTGATATGAAGGCCTCTATAATTTATTTAGATGTTAAAAACGCAGAAAATTCATTTCATAAATCCCAAATTTCATACAAGCAAGCAAGGCCACATTTATCAGTCAAATGTCAATGAATGACATGAGATGAGACGATGACTAAGTTATGGAAGATTCTAAATCGGATTCAAAATTCAATTAGAGGTTAGCCGAATTGAATTGCGAAGGAATCTTCAAAGGTCTCTCTATCCCATATTCCCATTTCCTGTTGCTGCCTGCACTTTTTCAACTTCTATCCGATCAAGGCACAATAACAAAAGATCAAGGGCCCTAAAAGGTCTCACGTATATCTCAACTGTCAACACTTTTTTTTTTTTTTTTTAATCGCCAACTTTTGTTTTAACTCTATCCTGCATTAGGGAAGAGGCCAATTGAATCAAGGTTTTTTCTTTTTCTTTTTTAGGGTTAAAGTAAAGGGGGAAGATTTCACGTCTAGACCAAATCAATGTATTACTGCACGTCTTCGCCAAGTGCAGAGATTTGAATTCCTGAGTTGCAGTTGGACCTGCACCTTGGTTAACTCGCAGAAATTTAAATTCCTGACCTGTAATTGGACCTGCATCTTGGTTAACTCTCAACTATTTATATCGCCATTTTTTCCCTTTTGTTTATGAGGAAAGAAAATGCCATTTTCCTTAAAACTCAGTCTGATTCCTTTTGATCAAAGATCAGCAGCGTTGGCATTTCTCCACATCTAGAGCAAAATTAGCTGTACAAAATTGGTAAGGCCTTTCGGCCAATATTCTTGCCGTTCATCTGTCCAGAAAGTCGTAAAGAAGTTTTGTGATTATCTTCAGAAGTTATAGGCTTACTATTGTGCAATGCTAATGCACACCCGATATCGTGCAATTAATTGTTTTGATGAAAGAAAAAAATTTGAAAGCAGAAAGAGAGCAGAAATTACGAGAAGAAGTCAAAGATAATAGAGAACTTTTTTGTGGATAAGTGGAGGAGAAGTATAAGTGGTTAGCAGTTGTGGGGACAAAAAAAAGGAGAAATATTATTTACGCTCCCCTTTTTGTTATTTGCACTCTCGCTATCATTTTTATTATATAGTTTTCATTTATTAGATTATATTGTATAACAAATTATGGGATTGCAAAGAACAAAATATGGAGTGCAAATAACATTTTCCAAAGAGTGGATAAAGTCGTTTAAGAAATTTTAAAAATTAAAATTTAGTATATCTTTTTTGCTAATTTTGGAACCATCATACAGTTAATAATACAAGAAATTTTAAAAAGTTACACTGTGTTGTATAGTTCATGCATGAGGGTCAAGTCACAACGCCCTTTCAGCAAGAACCATTACACTAACTTATTTTCTTCTACTTTACGTGGTTAAATTTTTTTTTTTTCCTTAGTTCAAAAGATGAATTATGCGTCCTGCCAATTATTACATACAATGAGTGACTGAAACTAATTTCTTGCTTCATATTGAGCAAAGGGACCATGTAAATTGTAGGTTTGGCCCAGTTTTACTGGTGACGCCACTAGCAATGTTGGACCACGGGGTTGGTCATCACCATCCACTATGCCTAGTAAATTTTTTTTGGATAAGATAAAATATTTCATTCCATGAAATCTGCATCAACGACAGAAAATATATTGAAAATATCACGGATACAACTAATCTAAATAATTACTACTAGATTTAATGACGGAAAATACGATGAACATTATCACAGATACAACTAATCTAATAAATCACTGGATTTAATGGCAGAAAATACATTGAACATTTCATACGTACACAACTAATCTATAAAATCATTGAACATATATCACGGATACAACTATTCTAAGAGATCGCTACATTATCTGAAAAATCACTAGAGCTAACAGATACAACTAATCTGAAAAATCACTACATTATCTAAAGATCACGAGAGGTAATAGATCTAGCAAATAACAAAATGATAAAGATTATGCTGTAAAACTCCAACAAATCGGGATCACGAATAGCCCAATGAATATCTAGTTTGGGAGGTTTGTTAGACTGAGATAGCCATCCTGAGAGACGAGAATTGAGACAAGATCTCCAAGGAGATGCTTGCAATCAAATCTCCAACTGTGATTGATGAATACATGTAGATATAGATTTTGCAATTGTAATCTAATTTCAAGAGTATCAATCGCATCATGTGGCAAGGTGCAAGATTTAGATACCATGAAAGGATAAGTTAAACACATGTACATGCCAATTGGAAAGTTTCTTTCATGCAAATTATTTACAACTTTTTCAGGGGCAATTCAGTGGATGCATGTATCTACGCAAATCCTTAATGCACCGAATTTCTTCTTCTTTCTGCTAACTTGTAGGATTTGGAGCCTTTCGAACCAAACGAATAACCACCACAAAATTCGAGTCAATATGTAATATACTACAACAACACAAGTTCTTATACGGTGAAATTCTATAGGAGCCCTTCAGGATGTAGAGTTTCTTTAAGCAAAAGACTTTTAAATCACACCTTATTACGAGTTAGCGGAAGAGTGTTATTCCAAATGGTAACGGTTCTCTCCTCCTACTTTATCTCTCTTGATAAAAAGAAACATAAAAAAAAAAAAAAAAAAAACCAATGCCAGCAGCAAAGCAAAACAGAACACTTTAAATAGACTGGGGCTACATAGGAAGTGCAAAGGAGAAAGAAGAGGAAGTAAAGGGGCGCCAAACAAAGGGAGCAACATCAAAGGGAGGCACAATGAGAGCTAGTGCTTCAACCATTTACTTCATCTCACTTCTTTTATCATTGCTTCTTAGTCCCACTTTTGCTATCAAAAAGGTCAGCATATAATTACTTGACAGCCTTCTTCAATAATTCAATTACTATACTATCAGTGCCTTGTTTTTTCTTTTTCAGTCGAAGTAACATGGTTTTTGTTTTGTTTTTCATGTGTACTTAGTCTTATGTGGTGTACTTGGGAGCTCATTCTCACAGACCAGAAGTCTCATCCATCGACTATGATAGAGTAACAGATTACCATTATTCGTTTCTTGGGTCATTTTTGGGGAGGTATAACGAAATCTATATGCATGTACATATTCAAAATCCTCTGCTTTTTCTTGTTTTTGCTCGAGATTCAGTGACTAATAGAATTTTCATGCTTGGACTTCAAACAATAACAGTAAAGAGAAGGCGCAAGAGGCAATTTTCTACTCCTACACGAGACATATTAATGGTTTTGCTGCAATACTTGATGATGCAGAAGCTGCTGAGATATCTAGTAAGCAATTTGGATTAGTGGTTCTTCTCAATTTCTCTGGGCTGTTTTATCTTTAGTTCGTGTTCGTAACCGTTGACATCATATTTTCCTCTTTGAGTACAGAACATCCAGAAGTTATATCAGTGTTCCTGAATAAAGGAAAGAAATTACACACCACCAGGTCGTGGGAATTTCTGGGGCTTGAGCATGATGGCAAAATTCATCCCAGTTCACTATGGAAGAGGGCAAGATTTGGTGAAGGCACCATTATTGGCAATCTTGACACTGGTGAGTTTGGCTAGGTCCAATCCTACTTATTTGGCATTCTTTTTGGAGTAAAGCAATGTTGATCAATTCAGCATTGCGGTTCAGTTAACTGCAGATTGTAAGTTTTGCATATTTCATCTAGGAGAACTGTTAGTATTTTGCAGATTTAGTATAAAGTATCCAGCCTTTTCCTTCAGTCTCTTCAGTTTACTGTTGATATACTGATTCTCCTACAAGTAGGCATAGAAGTTCTTTTTGGCTTTTTTATGTAGTGCAAGCAAGAAAGTTGGCAATTGATAACTTGTATCCGGATCATTGACTTGATGATTTAACCGGATCATTGACTTGATGATTTAAGATAAATCCTTTTTATGTCACACTTAAACTGTTGTAATTTGTAATGACAAACATAAAAGGTTTGGAGTCCTAAAAATAAGCAATAGTAAATGATTTATTGATTTTTCAAGATCTCGCCGGGATGCTGGCATGACCAACCACTTTCGCACAAGACAAAATGTTTATCTAATTGAGGCAGTCGTTATTAAACATTGGTTGACCAATTGCCTAGCTTGAAAGATTATTTTATTTGCAAGTGTTGATGTACTTGATTGATTTTCAGTGGCTGCAGTCTCTTCTTTCCCCTACAGCTCCCGGGGCTCTACACGATGTTTGCAATATACTTTGTCTTCTTTTAGGAAAGTAGGACCGATACCACTTAAAAATTTGGCATCTATTCAAAACAGTCATCGAAGTTGTAACTCTGCATTCACTGCAAAATAGTATTTTGACAGTTTAATTGGTGGCGTTCTAACTCCTGGACAATGCAATTGTATGCCGTATTACCATAGAGAAAAAACACAATATTTGACAATGGCATCTTGGAATGAAGTAGCAGAAGCTTCCCAGCTGTGAAGTTGTATCTTGGAATGAAGTAATTTGTTGCATGCAATTTATCACTCTGTGGCACGAAAACTTCGGACCATGGTTACCCTGCTTTGAAAGAATTCTGTTATTATCATATTACAGCACAAAACCATCCCAGCATCCTCAAATTTGTTTGTAGAAAATTGTTCCTTGGACAAATGAAGATGCAAATGTGGGCATTTTAGTCCATAAAGTTTATCTAATATCTTCATACGGCCAACAAGATAGCAACAATAAGCATATTTTCGTAACTGATTGGGCTATTTGTGTGCTGTTGTTTGGCTGGGAAATTCTCCACTCAAATACCAACTAATGCTAATGAAAATTTTTATGTTATTCTGGCAAATCAGAATTCAAATTGGAAATTTATTTTCGTAAAAATTTGAAGAGATTGGTGAAGGATGGCTCCTAGTGTTAAACTTACAAGAATTGCATTTGCCAGGTGAAGGATGCCTCCTAATGTTAAACTCCTAGTGTTATTCTGGTTTTCTCCACTCTTACTAGATCCCTTTATGTGATTGAACCAGGTGTATGGCCAGAATCAAAGAGCTTCAGTGATGATGGGTATGGTCCGATTCCAGTGAAGTGGAAAGGAACTTGTCAAAATGGAGAAGATGAAACATTTCACTGCAATAGGTAATATTTGTGTCTATATCTGTTGCAGCTCTTCTTTTTCTTGTCACTGTTTACAGTTATTCTGCATATGCATGAAAAGGTTTACAAGTTCAACTAATAGTCATGGGTGGTTGATTATACTTGTGAAATATTCAAGTATTGGAGGTCGATGAGAATAGCATATACCTCTACCTTGATTTTTGGGGCGTGCAGCTATATGGACATAACTCCTATCATGGTTTTCTCAAATTCCTTGAGAAACTTATTGAATTTCTGAAACAGTTTTAATAATGCTATGCCTCAATTTAAGATTGGGGCTTGAAGAAAGTGTCCTTAACTTTTACCGCTTAGTGGCAGAAGTCACAATGTCAACTAACAGAGCAGATAACCAGATTTAGCGTCCATACTGCTGTGCAGATTTATGCAATTTAAAGTTTCCTTGTTCTTGTTTTTGTCCTAGAATTTGTAGAAGTGCCAGGAACTTGTAGAGTTTTGGGATTGAAAAAAAAAAAACTCAAATTTTCAACTTCAGAAAGGCTTTTTTGCCCTAACATGTGACAGACTGAGAATATCATAGGCATCAGCCTACTTGAGCATAAGATAAACTTCTAGAATGCATAAGAAACTGATGTGCTTTAATTAACACGGTTACCTGTTATGTCCGAAGGAAACTCATTGGGGCAAGATACTTCAACAAAGGATATGCTAGTGCTGTAGGAAAGCTCAATTCCACTTTCAACTCACCACGAGATGGAGAAGGCCATGGATCCCATACCTTATCAACAGCTGGTGGCAATTTTGTAGTTGGAGCAAATGTATTTGGATACGGAAATGGAACAGCAAAAGGTGGATCACCAAGAGCTCGAGTCGCAGCTTACAAGGTCTGCTGGCCTCCAGTGTCAAATAATGAGTGCTTTGATGCAGATATTTTGGCTGGCATTGATATGGCTATCCACGATGGTGTTGATGTGATTTCAGTATCACTTGGAGGAGACCCTGTTCCCTATTTCAATGACAGCATTGCAATTGGCTCCTTTCATGCTGTTAAGCATGGTATTGTAGTGATCTGCTCAGCTGGCAATTCTGGACCTACTCCTGCCTCTGTTTCCAATGTTGCACCCTGGCAGATCACAGTTGCCGCAAGCACCATGGATCGACACTTTCCGAGTTACGTTGTTCTTGGCAACAATATGCGCTTCAGTGTGAGCTTTTTCTTCTTTACTTCCATTTTCTAGTATTGGTAATTTTTATAGGCCTATATAGTATAATGCAATTCCTGTAATTTTTTTCTCTGTAGGGAGAAAGCCTTTCACAAGAAGCATTGCCAGATAAGAAGTTCTTTCCAATTGTTGCTGCCAAATCTGTTAAAGCTGCTTATGCATCAGATAAAGACGCGTAAGCATGGGATATCTATGTTTTATAACTTGTTCGCAATTCCAATGTGCGCTGTGGTTCCCTCAAAGAACTAATGTGACTACAATATTTGGTATCTGACGCGTCCTTGCAGTGAGCTTTGTAAGGCTGGAACACTAGATCATAGTAAAGCAAAGGGGAAGATCTTGGTCTGCCTGCGGGGAGATAATGCAAGGGTTGACAAGGGCCAGCAGGCTGCTGCAGTTGGTGCCGTGGGAATGGTTCTCACCAATGATAAACTTTCTGGGAATGAAATTATTGCCGATCCTCATGTTCTTCCTGCATCACATATCAATTACACTGATGGACTTGCTGTATTCTCTTACATCTATTCTTCAAGGTAAGAAGACATCCAATCAGGAACTTAAACAATCTCCATATTAGTTTGGTAGAAGATCCAAGCACAGAATACCAACTAAAATTAGGAAAATAAGCTATTCCAATGTAACAATGAACTCTAAACCAAATAAAGATGGTTTTTTGTTTCCTTTTCTTTTTTACTTCAATCAGAAGGTACATAATGTTGTTCAAAAGGCTGAAAGCCGGGATCATATTTGTAGTTCACATATTCTTTGTTTCTCCATTTTTTGTTTACTTTGCTGAATGTTTTAGTATCTTACAGATCTCCAAAGGCTTACATTACACATCCAACAACTGAATTAGGCACGAAGCCTGCCCCATTTATGGCAGCATTTTCATCCAAGGGACCTAACACTCTTACGCCAGAGCTTCTCAAGGTTATTCTAGATACTCGGATGGCTTTTTCTTGTTCATCTGATTCTTGAAACTGTGATATGATTTGCAACTCATTTGTTCTTCACTTAACAAAGTTTCTTCTTTCTGCAACATCAGCCTGATATCACGGCACCAGGAGTCAGTGTGATTGCTGCTTTCACCGAAGCACAAGGGCCAACAAGTGAAGGTTTTGATAAGCGTCGAGTTCTCTTTAATTCAGAGTCAGGCACCTCAATGTCATGTCCTCATGTTTCTGGCATTGTTGGCCTCCTAAAAACTCTTCATCCAGATTGGAGTCCTGCCGCAATCCAGTCTGCAATCACGACAAGTGGTAAGACCTCATCAAATTAAAACTGCACTGCAATACATTCAGAGCATGCACTTTCCAAGTACATGCATTTTAACATTGCCGTCAAATTCTATCGTACAGCAAGATCAAGGGATAATGCTTTTGAGCCAATAATAAATGCATCTTATGTCAAGGCTTCACCATTCAGCTATGGAGCAGGACATATTTGGCCAAACCGTGCAGCGGATCCTGGACTGGTTTATGATCGAACAGCCAATGATTACCTGACTTTTCTATGTTCACTAGGCTACAACGAAAGCCAGATTGCATTGTTCACCCAAGCCCCCAAGAAATGCCCCAAGCCAATTAGTCTACTAGATTTGAATTACCCCTCAATCACAGTTCCAAAACTTCGTGGTTCAATCACAGTGACTAGAACTCTGAAGAATGTAGGTGCTCCGGCAACTTACACTGCCAAAATTGTCAGCCCTCCTGGAGTTTCGGTCGATATTCAACCAAAATCACTTACATTTGCAAGAATTGGTGAAGAGAAAAGCTTCAAACTTACCCTGCAGTTAAAGAAACCAGGTGCAGCCAGAGATTATGTGTTTGGGAGGTTGGCATGGTCTGATGGGAAACACTTTGTAAGAAGTCCCATAGTAGTTAAGGCATCATACTAAAGATTTTCTCAAATTCTTAAGATACTCTTATTCATTTAGCCTACATTTGATTGATCCGCCACTTTCGAACAGTTTTTTTCTTTAAAATCAAAGAGAGATAGAATTAGATGATCGTTTCTGACCCTTGATTTTTTTGCTATTTCTTGCTTGAGGCATATGTGTAAGGACTTTGATTTCATTCAATTGTTAATAATGTCATGGTGATTTGCAATTTTACGAGGATATGAAGACCCAAGCCCTTAAATGGTGTAAGCAATTAAATTTCTTTTCCTTTGTTCTTACTTTGTAGATAATAGATGAGGCAGTCTCTCAATTTTCACACAAGTATTGGACGAAAATTTGAGTGTTTTGGGCAGTGGATTTCAACTGAAAATCCAACAAAATAAACCATATTCCCAAGCATTCCTCTTGGTTCCACAACTTCGAAAAAGCTCCTCAAATACTCTCGATTGTCTTTTCAAAGGTGTTTGAGTTGGAACCACACGCCCCTATATTTGTATCAAGAACTCTTAGTCTCAAAAGATTTTTGTCACTTGCAGCCAGCAAAAGCAACGAAATGTTGTATTGCTTTGTACGAGGAATACAAAAAAGGAATAAAATAAAAATAAAAGAAGAAGAAAACTCTACAAAATTTAGTACTTCATTGGATCCAACTAAAAGCATCGATTTCCAAGAAATGGATTTCTTTTCTGCTCGTACAACAAGATACAATTCGTGCGCCTTTTCAGTGAAATTTTTCAACCGTGATATGATTGTAATTTTGTGCCTTAAACCGACTCGGTAACTTCTTCTTGGAGTGAAATCACCAAAAGCAAAGCAAGCCTTCATATGGAGACCAAAGCCTCATCTGGAACAGTTAGATATATTCAGTGTCAAACCTCTTCTGAACTCTACATACGGGTATGCCATTGGTTCTTCGCCATCTTCTACACTCCACCTATACATATCAAAACCACTTCGTATACACTATTAGGGATTAAACTCACACAGATATGGTAAAAAAGAGGCCAAAATTTTGCATCTATTGGGCTAATACCTTTAAACAAATGACAAAATTATGGGAGTGCATTTCGTTTTCATAAAAAAACTTGTATGGAACTTTTGTTTTTCAACCCTCTAATATATCGTGGATGCTTATGACACGTAGTGCATGCATGATTTCGCATCCGTAAAGAAATATATGAAACTAAGAAAAAACTTGAAGTTAAACAAGTAATAATTGATTATTTAAAGAGTAATCATCCTTAGATTATTTCGATTATTTAAAGAGTAATCACTTTTAGATTATATACAGTGTCAGTGTATAGAAAATTAATCCTTGTTTCAAATATATACAATTAATTACCTGTAGTTTTGTATAAGGTGGTGGAGGAAAAATGCGACCTCAACTTTTCCAAGTTCAGATCCGGGACAACAACGAGACCCCCCACCGAAGGGTGTAAATTTCTTGCATGTTTGATCTTCATCCTGGAAGGCATGGCCACTCATAATTCTCAGTTCTCAGATGTATACATGCCCTACAAAAGAAGAAGTTTTTTCTTTTTCTTTTTTGTGGGACATGAACAGGACCATTTTTTTATTATTGAGTCTTAAGAAATATAATATGGAGTAGCAATTAATTACCAGCCATCTCCAAGGATTAAATTGGAAAGCGTTGGCATGGATTGAAGGGTCCAAGTGAACTGCGCTAAAAATAGGTAGGACCTTCCAACCGGCTGGAATTACATAATCTACAGAAACAAATATATGAAAAAAGAGAGTTGAGTGCTGAAAGGAAAGCATATGCACATTGCCAATAGCTCATGCATGCATAATTGGGGGGAAAGGAAAAAGCATTCTCTTGCTTTTGCAGCAGTTGTTTGTTTTTGTATATAGGTTCTGGACCATTAGAAGTGATCAATACTGACCTTTGAACTTGACATCTTTAAGAGCCTTTCGGTGGACAAATTTCACAATGTTTCCACTTCTCAGAGCTTCATTAATGACCTACAATCAGTCAAAGTAATTAATAATCTCAACATATATATATATATTTCATAGTAAGTAACTATCATGGTTTGGACACACTCTTTTTATTTTTTTTTTCTCTTCTTTTTTTCCCTTAAATATGGTTTCCAGCTTCAAAGTGCATTTTTCTTTATAATGATCTGAAACTCATTGTAATTTTAGTCGGGCACATTTGGTGTGCTTGTATTTCTTTTAATTTTTGATGTACACTTTACATATGTATTTTTCTTGCTTTTTGTGTACATAAATAAAATCCACAAAATGCAAAATTCACGCGTACAAGAGATAAAATAAGTGTATATCAAAATATTTAACAAATACAATATTGGTACATAATCTGATCGCACCTGCCACAATTATACTTGCCCTGATTCGATACTAATATATGCTCCAATCTGTTTTCATCTTTTTTTAGCATTGTTTAATAAAAAGGTGGCCTTTTCAAAACTGTTCAAGAAGTTAAAAGGGTTGTTATGGAAGTTTTGAAGGGCAAAAACTAGTATGGTAAAGCTAGAGGAAAAGGTAGTTTTACTTTTGTAGCTAGCTACAAACGCATGTAATGTAAATAGTCATCCAGAGCACATATATAAGAGGCTAGAGCGCTTACGTGCTGAGTGAAAACCATCTTCTTGTAGTCTTCCCAATTCAGGTATTCATCTTTGTCCTTCACTTTCCTTATGCCCTGGTGCTCTAGCTATATGTTTAATCATGAGAGCACAAAACTAAAAGCTATAACCATAAAATGTCAAATGCACGACAACTTTTATTAAAGACAGGAGTACAATAAAGTTAATGCATGACTTGTCAGTCAATGCTACCTTTAATTGTTCAAGTGCAACTTTGGATTGTGCAAGGAAGTAAACCACCATGGACGTTAGCAGGAATGTAGTTTCATAGCCGCCCAGTAGGGAATCTAGGACAAAGCTAACTTTTTCATCTTCAGATAAGGTATCAACACAAAGCAGTATCTCAAGGAAATCACTCCTTTTACTGCTACAATTTTCAGCACCAGCATTTCTCCTTCTTTCTTCTATTATTGTTTCGATAGTTGAAGAGATTCTACGTCTAGCCTGTAAAGATGTCACCACAAAAAGGTTGATCGCATGTGCATCTTTTCGCAACAAAAAGCAGAAAACCAATATTCAACTAATAGTAGTATTAATTAACGAGAGAGGTTTTCTTTTGCTGTTATTTGTTGGATAGAGTAAAGAGATCAATGTTGAGGGATGCGGAGAACCTGAACAGCTCTTGCATATGGAGTCCCCGGAATATACAGTGGAAACGAGATCAGCCCTCTCATGAAAGTAAGAAAATCTTGCAGAATCTGTGTAGTTCTTGGCTCATCTGGTGTTAAACCGAGAACTTGCTTCACTATTACATTGAATGCAAACTGTAAAGAATACATACAAAGGAAAGTAGCAAGATTAGATTCTCGAAATTCCTTGGGGTCAAAAAAGGTGGTAGACTGAGCAATTTCGACAGTGCGAGATTGTTGATATGTACCTTTCTAGCTTCATCACAGAAGATGACCTGTTCTTTCTTTTGCCATGAATTGAGTACCTGAATTGCTATTCTCTCAGCATCATTGAGAAACTCAGGTTTGGATTTGGTGGTGTTCACAAGTGAGAGGGCCACATTCCTGAGCTTCTTGTGTGTGTCATTGACAGCAACCAGCATTGATACCTTTCCAAGAATACCGTGGATGGGTTTTGGGTAGCTACACTGGAATAATTTATCTTCATTTTGTAGTACGAAATAGTTGAGTTCTTGGTCACATGAAACCACCGTGGGGGAGAAGAATAAATGGGATGTAAAAACTTTCCCATACCTAAATATTCCAAGACCAATCCAACACAAAGTCACGTGTACATATAATTAGGATGATGTAATAACTCATGAATCATGTTATAAAGATTCAAGAATCATGGTGAAGATTGTGTTACTTACCTAGAACAGTGTTCTTGAAGAAAAGATCCAATTGAGTTGGAAGGATGAGGCTTCAAAAAGGAAAGGGTTTCTCCAAGTATTGGCCACCCAAAGGACCCTTGAGGGACAAGGCCTTGCTTCGAGAATAAAGGCAAGAAATGATTCAAAATTATCCCAAACAGGACTCCCACCAAACCAAATAGCATGATAAACCAAAACCATCCTGCCATGGAGATCAACCTGACAAGTTTTGTGTTGAAAACCCACAAATGACGACCTTTATCTTATACTACTTGTTGCACCAAACATGGGCTAGCTCTCACTATTATATATAATATAAGGGAGAAGGATAGAGCCACAAAGGTGAGAATGTTCTCCCTCTCCCTCTCCCTCTCCCTCTTTTTCTTCTTTTATTTTACTTCGCTTTCTTACAATAATAAAAGAAAGCAACTAGGCTTTTTACTGTCGGTGAAATCAATTTTGGTCAGAAGCATAGGAAATGTAAGAAGTAGTCCTGCTAGCCTAGGATCTAGCTAACTAGGGTTGTACTTATAATGATGCTAGGGGTGCAGGATATGGGAAGAGGGAAAGGACGTTTTAGTAGTCATATTTTAATTAGTTCAAATATAAGTAATCGTATTAACAGAAAGAGATAGGCTAACAATAGATTCACATGCAAAAGTTCTTCAAGGATGTTGTTCCTGATATCAGCCCAAGGCTTGAACTGTTAAACAATGCTGACACTGCCTTATCACCGCGCGCATGCACACGGGCGGACTATGCATCTATACATAGAAGAAGTGCCAATGAAAAACAGGATAATTGAAAAGAAAAGATCAAGGATACAAGATTGTCTTGTTCAATTATATACTATATGTATGCTTAGATATCAAGATTTGCTACTAGAGTCAATAATTTGTTTAGGGCTGAATGTTTGGAAATATGACAACTTTTTCTCAGAATCTAGCTAGTAAAAAATAATGTTAATAAATTCCTCGCTGCGCTCCTGCGATAACTTCAGGGCCAGGCCTTCACCCTCGAGTAAGAGTCAAACTCTGCGACGCTCCCCGGGCCGAATCCGGATTAGTCCGAAAGGAATACCAGATGGTTAGACCCAAAAAAAAAATAATGTTAATGACTTAACGCGTCATCCCAAGTTTTCATCATTAGAAGAGCAGCAAAGGTGTAAGTTCGGAAGTGTCATGCCTATATTCTGCATCCAAATTTACACTCATGAATCCATATAATATAGGTGTTAATCAAAGTTTAGTTGGTCCCATGAACACCCT